GTATTTGCCTAAAGTAGATAATTCTTCCATTTCATAAAATGGATAGTTTGTACTGTACAAATTGTGAAAGAATTGTTTTCCTGCGCCAGTCAGGAAAGCAAACACATGTTCAAAATGGCTGCATCTACAGATGCAGTGAGTTTGTTCCAAGGAAAGCATTTAATGAGAAGCAGCAAGTATATTATTAAACCAAATCAGTTAGAAAGTCTTTCACTCATGAGCAATAACAACATACTGTAACAAAATTAAAGACGCCATGGCTAAATTTTAAACTTTGAATATGTCAGTTTGTTTACCTCTGATGTAGTCTTCCATTACAAATCTTTTAGGAATCACAGGGAGGCTGGAACATAACTTTTTAAAAGGAAGTAAGACTAAAATGGTAGTTTTACCTGTAGCACATGTATGCTGTGACTCTGCATACATCTTGGGGATAACAGTATGGGGAGACAAAGAAGGTCAAGAAAGTGCCTGCCTAAACTCCAGCAGACTGCACCCTTTCTGCTTTGTTCTGGAGGAGAGGAATTGGAAGTAGTTTGCGGCCCTTCTTCTAATTTTCCTGCAAGGCTATATGGCTCAGATAGGACCTCAGTGGATGAAGTGTGGGAAGCTATGGAAATCTAACCCTTTCACTGAATGCCCATAAAGTTAGCTGCCGAGCAAGGGTGGCAGAAGGAAGAAAAAGAGATACTGCAACAATTGTTTGTTCTACATCGAGGAGCCAGATTTGGAGTGCTTCTGGGATGCTTCAGCCTAGTAAACCACCAGCAGATATGAGAATGCTGACAGACAAGGGAAAGCATAGGAAGCAAGGGAAAATAAATTATTTTCCTCCTATGTTCAGGCTTTCAGACAGTTAAGCATCCACGGATGAATTTCTTATGACTAACAAATAAAATATTTTCAGTTGCTAATCTAGTGGTTGTTTGTTACACAGTGTGAACAGTACAAGCAATCTATTTCAGAAAACAGAATTGACTTATGCACTTCAGATAAACACACCCTATGGTGTCCTTTTAATCACTTTGTATTCAGTGGAGATATGGTCTCCTTTTCATAAAATGAATAAACTTCTGACAAGTTAATGAGTAATAGACTAATTATACTACACATTTACACACCATGAAATGGATTCAGTGAATTTCACTGAAAATTAAAGCATATATATAATGCTTGAATATACAAAGTGGTTACATATTTGTAAGTCTTCAGACTACATAATTTAATTATGTACAGGACACAGGATGGTCCTCTTAGGATAGCAACTTTCTATTATTAATTATAGTATCTCTTTACTATACCATATCCTTATCTACCACAGTATAGAGCTCTAATGCCTAGGCCTCTGAAACCTTCCTGGTGTAAGCCGAACAGGAAGGAAAGAATATTTGCTTTTATTTTTTTTTCTCATTCTCATTCTAAGTACATATATTTCCCTGTCATGTTTCTCTCCTTTTCTCTTTTCCAGTGACATATGTTGAGGTTGTACCCAGCAACTGGAAGAGCTTTAGAATCTTGCAAAGCCAAATCTTACAATCTGCCCATGTCATACCCCCAAACCTCCCCATTTTTGCCTCTGCCAGCACCAGTCTTCCAATGACTGGTTGGAAATGGTTAATTTCTTCAAGGGCTGGGAGAGGAGATTTGAGGTTGGACCTCCTCTCACCCTCTCCAGTTAAAGTTATGTATAATAAATTTAAAATTTAACACAATTCTGATGAAAACACTTTCAAGTGTCATCATATAAGCACATGCTTACCTTCTGCTAAAATGGTTGCCTTGTCCATTTAATTAATATTGAACTTTTCAAAAAGTTTCATTTCTGTTACACTACTGGAATCAACTTTTTGCCTTGGGGATGGATGACATCATAAAGTGCAGTTCCATCCAAAATCCCACCCCTCCCATTATGATCTCATCACTGCAATTTCTGCTCTTCTCCCCATTATGCACTATCAGCATAAAAAGTGACTCAGCCATTCCAGTCATTCACCTCCCCATGAGGGTACAAGAAGAAAGGGTCAATTCCTTTGACCTCCAAATACAAAATTGATTTTGCATTTCTCTTTCTAGGCCTGCATAGGCTTGTAAAGTTTACAAATTAAGCTTATGCATGCATACAAACGTGTATGCATGTACATTTGTGTGCGCGCACATGCATGTGTGTGTGTATAGAGAAAGAGATATGAACATGCATGTGTTGGGAAAGTCCAAATAAATCCTCAAATGAAAACATACGCTTTTTCATGTCCTTTTTTCATTGCAATAATGCCCTTCTTCCTCTCCACTCAAAAGGACTAGAACTTTTCACCCAGTTCTATATGCCTGGGAAAAGCAGGCAGCCCTGGGGGCCCCATTATGCATGCATTTTCTTGCAAAGCAACTCATATACACCACAGGCTAAGCGATACAAAATAATGTTGGAGTAGCCTTCATAAAAGTCATATGTTTTATACGTAAAAATATGGAGAGCCTGGCCTGTTCTTTTCCCATTCCCATCAGCAGGGTTTTTCCTTTTTAATTCCTTCTCTGGAAAAAGGAAAAAAAAGCCCCAAGTATGCGAACAAGCTATCTGTACTGAGGGAAGCAACTAGCCAAAACAGGATTGAAACAATGTTGCAAGCTGATTGGGGCCGCTGCGCTTCCTTTGCAATGTAAAAATACCTAGCCAGCTCATGCTTTGTCTTAAGGCAGCTCATGCTTTGTCTTAAGGAGTTTTGTATCTCTGTCTGCAAAAACCACAGCATTTTAAACCTGACAGATTTCTGAAACTTCTGATTGTTTTGTTATCTGTTACTCAAGCCTTCAATGGGTCATGATGTTTTTTCTGATGCCTACAATAAATTCTCAATGTTTCTGTATTATTCCCCTGTATTATTGTCCTTACCTTCTAACCCATTCAGAATCTCATCACTACCTTGAAACTGTGTAGGTGACCCACAGCTTATAAAAATACTCTGCCCATGCTCTGGAAATTAACTTTGTAGCATATTTCTTACTCTAACAGAAAGCAAATTGTGAGTCTGCCAATGCCTATTACTTTAAAAGTCATTATTCATACATATAAAGGGCTTCTGTACATGAGGGATTTAATCTGCTGCATTATTGGGGGTTCTCCATTTTCATTGCAGGAGGAAAAATCATTATTTACACAGTGTTAGTATTTCTATGCCTTTCTATATATTATGTGAAGCAACCACAAAGTGGTGGTGTGGTATAACTGTAGTATAGCAGATTTGCAACTTCTCATGGGGTTTTTCTTCTGGTATGTGGTGGTTTAAATGTAATACCAAAGCTCCTCACTTTAAAATTAGTCACTAAAAAGAGTGGAAGTCACAGGAGTCACTCTAGAAGATGATGGTGCCATGAAATTCTCTGAGTAAGGTATCATGACAGCACTCATGTAAAGGAACCCAATTTTAGTTGAATTTGAATTATATTCTATCTATGTCTATATTTCCTCAATTTAAGTTTTATTCTTTGAATGATAAGTGCAAGCAGGAAACTATGTCCTATGTTATAAATTATCTGGTTTTAACTCTTGATACTGTTTTCTCACAGAAAATCATTATGAGTAATAAGGTATAATTAACTGTATAAAGTACTTCATTCTATTCTATGTTTTGTTTAAGAAAATGTGAACAATAAAACAACATATGAATTCTGAGAATAATAAGAAACAGCAGCTTCAACAATAATAAAGGCAATTATAATGTAAGGCACATTTAGAGACCTCACTTTAAGTATGATCAGCAAAACAGCATTATTTTCAGTGTTCTAACAATGGGCAATGAAGAGACGTGACAATGAGCCTGCTTGTACATAAAAATAATGCACTGGTTAAACGGATCATGTCCATTAGGAATTATAGGGAGAGAATAGGCAAGCTGCCTGCAGTGTGACAATCTCCCATCAGTTCCTTCATAAATTGTGTAGTATGACTTCTGAAGTTGGACTGTTGGGTTGTTCAGGAGCTGAGCAATCCAGCAGTCAATACAACAATCAACATGAGTTAACTGCTAGATTGTTTAGCTTCTAAACAAAACATCAGTCCAGGTTCAGATGTCATGCCTTACAACCCATAAAGTTACTGAGTATTAGTGCAAACACTGGTGAGTTGGGGAATACAAGCAGAATTGGTGGGCACGTAGGGGGCAGTGCACATGCTCTTTCTTACTTGTGCACAACAACCCATTGTTTCACTAATATTGTTTAACAGATGGGTTGCCAATATGTGCAAAACATGGCATATGCCTCCTTTCATAATTTGGACACTGAATCCTATTCGTGATACTCAATTGGCACATGTCTTAACAAATGCAGTTTATAAAGAAGATCCTCGAAAAGAGAGTGATATTCTCAGGTTAGATTTGTAAAGAAAGGGGCAATTTCTGAGACATCATGTTTCCAGGGTTTAATAGCTAAAGTCAGTAACTGAACTGGAAACAAGCTGGCAACCACTGAAGTTTGACTAAGAATCCACCTCTTCTGGTCCCACATGAAACCCTGTTATCTACATTCCAGACCAACTGAAGTTTCCAGAATGTCTTCAACTGAAAAAAAATCCAATTTGGAATAAGCTCCTCTCTAAAAACCAAGATCATAGGTCCCTCCTAGGCAGGGGCATTCAAGGTTAGGAAAAATGGAAGGAACTTGCACCATTGTTGGATACAAATAAACCCATAAAAGCATCATATCATCAGAATGGATTCTAGACTTCTACTCAATACATTATAGCTTTAATTAAAGATAAACATAGCAAATGTCAAGAAAAGTACTTTTCTGAATGAAAATTAGACAAAACCTAATTTATGTGGATTATAAGCACAGGCCTTGCACTGATAACAAGCCTTATGTTATCAGTTATGGAATAACAAGTCTTATGTTCACATTTTATATCCTTTATTACTTTTCACAAAATATGAAAATGATTGCCTACTACTCTGCTTAGCATGAACAATTTCAGAAGAGAAATATAACTATGGACTATATGAACTTACCATGTACCACATACTTTGCCATTTGGGGTCATTAAAAAACATGGATTGGATGCCACCAGATTTGTAATCCCTCTTTATCCTTTTTTTTACAACCTGTTGTTCTATCCATTCCACCTGTCAATAAGGAAAACATTTGATAAATATCAAAATGTCACCACAGATATCTTTAAAAAGAGAAATAAAAATAAAGCTGTTTGCTATAAGCAGCTGAAGATAGAGTTAATTTTGGCATAATATTTTCTTAAACATTTATGGATAATTAGGAAAACCTTTATGGCTTTTATAGAAGCCCCTTTATGACAAATGTTGGCTTCTATAAAAGAAATGCTGCTCATGGCATAAATGGGTGGGCTTTGTTTATGCATAAGATTGTGATTAGAAAGGAAATTGAAGGAGCAAAACAGGGAAGGATACTTATAAGCCATTGGATATTAAAAGTCGATATTACATAAAATCAATTTTCAAGGAGTAATCCTATGCATATTTAGAAATGCTGGCTGTGGCATGCTGAGATTTATAGGATTATAGCACATACAATTTTAGCAGGGATATTCATTTAGAATATTTCATTTGAAGAAAGGAAGATTTTTTTTAGTCTCAAGTCTACATATCTGTCCTCTGTGTTCAGAATCTTCAGTGACCTTTCTGATAAGAAACAGAGTGTGAAAATCTGGTCTTTGGCCTGAGTCAAGTTCCATTTGGCATCTCTTCTCAGCTTTTTCTTGAAATTTAACCTGTTGCCCATTGCCCAGATCCTTACTTTTCTAGCAAATGTTTATAAATATAATCCATAGCTTTTGAACATTCAACTGGATTGGATTTTGATAAGCCACTACTATTGTACTGCATTGCTACTTTCTGTTGCTCATTTCATATTTCTGGGGAGCTAACACAGATGTAACGAAAGCTTTTTGTATATAAAACATAATTAGAGCAAAGAAAATGAAGCTGATAACAAATAACAAGGAAAACAATAGTATTTCTCCCACTGTAAAAAAAATGAAATACATGTTTTAAAGATGATTACACATATAAAGCACACTCTATAAATATATAAACATAAAACTGTTTCGTATAACATGTCTTCATTTCACATTTATAGAAATACATTCCCTGAATTCCGTTTTGCAATGCAAATTTATTTTATTTCACTTCTGTCACAATCCAATTTCAAGGTTTGTGAAATGAATAATAAACATATATTTACAAAAATGTATATTACTTTATTCTGCAAAATTGTCAACGTTTTCTTTAAATATTCCACAGATTGTAATTCTTGGATATAGCAAGCAGAGAGGACTTTTGAGGTCAAGAACAGAAGCTACAAGCTGAGTTCCATCATTCTGAGTTGAAAAAAACAAAGCCGCATGTATGAGAGGAAGAGACTGATAAACAGGGATGCTGGCAAACATCACTGAACTCAGACATGGAAAAGAGGGTTGAGGCTCAGAAATGCTTTGCTCAAAGGAGAAAGGAGTGTTAAAAGCCCCTGGACTATTATTTTCATTAACAAAGTATTGCTAGCATGCAAACGGCTTCTGGGGAACAAGAGCTCATCCAAGAGGAAGATTCTCTGGCTCAAAGATCCTCTGTGGAGACTAGGAAGGGTTTTATACTTAGATCCCTTTCTGTTGATCACTGTCTCAGCAGTTATAATGCACTTTCTTAGGGTACATGGTAATGAATACAGTGCAGTTTCCACTGTGTTGAAAATGTAATCATATATCACACACAAATACAATTGGGTAAGTGGTAGGAAGAGGGAATGTGTACAGGAAACCAGACCTGAAAACTGTCCTCGCCCATCCACTAGCTATGTGCAAGTGTAAAGGAACAAACAAGTAGATACTTTTTTAAAAAGTTAAAAAAGCAAGCAGGCAAGCAAGCAAGCACTCTTCTTGACCCCCCCCCCCCACACACACAAATATCATGGAGACAGAGAAACAGAACAGAAGAGAAAAGGGGGAGGTGCAGCTGCTGTGACCCCATTACCTGTGGGGTCAAGCCAGTGGGATCAGGACCTCTGTGCTCCTCCATCCAAATCCAATTCCCAAATGCTAGTGCACCCCCCTCATGCTGACTTTCTCAAGAGTAGGCACCACTGAAGTCAATGTAATTTGCTTCTAAGTAGACATATATAAGCACCAATAAACACATTCTACCTTATTTCTAAGCAAGCCCTGGAAGTAATAGTAACACTATTAGGATTTAAGTCAATATGTAGCTTTTCCTCACAGGGGAGGAAGAGAAGTAGCATTCCATTTATTCTCCCCGTCAGAGGGAGAGAAAGTAGCCACGGGGGGGGGGGCAAGGGAAGTGGGCAAACAATTTTAGACTCATAGCGCTTATCACCTCCTCAGAGTCGCTGCTGTTTTCTCAAAGCCAGATAAGACACTTCCTCTTGCAGCAGCATTTCCCCACAACAAAATGAAGCCATTCCCCCTTCTCCCAGAACAATACCACAAGTTTAGCACACAGAGGAATATACAGTGGTACCCTGGCTCATGAACTTAATCTGTTCCATGGCTCTGGTTGTGACCCAAATTGGTTGTGACCCAAGTCAAATTTCCCCATAAGGTTCAATGTAAATAAGGTTAATCCATTCTGTAACCATTTTTTTAATCAGAAAATTTTGAAACAAAGTGTCAAAGAACAACAAAGTAACAAAGTACTGTACAGTACAGTGGAGAACACTAACCTGGGTGGGGGGGATTATTGTTTGGAGGGAGAATCCCCTCCATAAGGACATTGGGGAGATCTCTTTCAGGGGTTTCCCCTCTTCTTTGTCTCTTAGCTGCAGGGTCAATTTTGGTGAAAAATCTGTCTATAGTCACTTGTTTTTTCCTGCGTTGCATAACCTTCCAGAAATGAGAGACCATGTTATCGTTCATAAGATTCAACACTCTGTTACAGTTCTGTTGGGGTGGTGCTTCTCAAAGAAATTCTGGCACTCATTCCATTTTTTCATAATGAATTGCATCACATCACTGCTAACCTCCTCCCTGTCTTCCTCTTCCTCGGTGGAATGCTCCTCAACATGCACCTTCTGCTCCTCACTCTGGAGTTCAGCAGGTTCTTCTGTCGTCAGCTCCTCTATGTCTTCCCTGCGCAAACGCAACTGTGATCGTGGCCCTCTCCCCACTCGGGGGTGGGGGGGAGAGGGCCGTGATCATGCTGGTTGTGAGGGGGGGAGATGGCCGAGATTGTGCCCATCTTTCCTGAAGGAGCGTGCCTGTGATCACGCATGTCTTCCCCGCAGAAACACAACTGCAATCGTGGCTATCTCCCCACTCAGAGAGTGGGGAGATGGCCGCGATCTTGGTTGCCACCCAATGTGGAGTTCGTGAGCCAAGTCAAAATTTTCATGAAATTTTTGTTTGTGACCCGATTTGGTTGTGAATCAAGGCATTGGTGAGCTGATGTACCACTGTATACTGCAGGAAGAAAGCCACATATGAAAAAGTAATGATATACTTGTCTGGAAGGAATCCTGGATATAATGGTAGAAATGGCACAAGGAAGATGGTTTGGGATAAGGGTCATGTGGCAACCACTGAGTAAGGCTTTATAATGTTGGTAAAATTTATTAGTATAGATCCCCCTAGGTTTCCCAGGGACATCTCTTTGAGCAGACTCTTGAGTAAAGCAATGGTAATATTTCCCCATTAGCTTCCAGGGGCTGCTTTCAAAAGATGTCCCAGTAAAATCACTGGAGGGCACCACCTCCAAGGAGAATCCATTTGAGAGTCAATTTCAGAGGTGGGTTTTGTTAAAGCAAGCTTTCTCTTGCATGCGCCCCTTCAATTTCCATTAATTCTCTGCTCCTGCTGCATCCTACACAATACATCCTATGCCATTACAGAGGTTCCTTGACCCAGAATAATGGTGTTTTAGGTGTCAGAAAAGAGCTGCATAGTTCAGAAAGAGGAAGAGCTATTTTGTATGAATTGAGCCCTGTTTTCTACTCTAGATCTAATAATTATACACAGAGAGTGTAATAATTAGTGTGCATAACTAATAAAGAAACTCTAAATGGAAACAGCTTTACACAAACAATATAAAGTGTTTAATGTATGTTTGCATTGTTCTACAAAGTCAAGAGGCAATCAAAATCAGTGTTTCTGTTTGGATCCCTATTCTGTTTTGTCTTGATATTTTTTATAATTCCTAAAATGTGAGCAATCAGACATAAAATGCTGATAATCAAAGCTAAATTTATTCCCAGCTGGGTGTAAATTAGTGCAAAATGATACAACAGATCTAGTCAACTACACTGTGCATACTCAGTATCATGCAGGCATTACTGATGGCAAAGTGCTTCCTTTGCCTTTTGAAATGAGTAGCGTACTGTGCTCAGTTCATTTTAAAATTGTTCTACATAATTTCACTGATAACCCAAGATATATAGGCAGAACCACCCACTAAAGCAGGGAATAACTGTGTTCAGTTTACACAGTTTGTTTTTTCATTTGCAATTACTTTTTGAAGTAACCAGGTTGAATTGTTTCTTAATAAATAAATGCTAATTGGTTTTGATCTAAAAGATATAACTGAAGTATGCAACAGTATTGAGAGATATTTTGGGTTAATATCTTCTATTTCCCATCAATACTTTGCAGTTATATAAAAACACCATTGTACAGTAGCTGATATATTTTGGAATACTTGGGCTTTGTATAAAAAGCATCTGTTTGTAGAAAAGTGTTTTCATTTCAGAACCATCCACACTTTCTAGCCCGTATCTCCTGAAGGAAAATCTCTGGTGTAATTGCTTATACAGATCCCCATTTCTAAAGAAAAGCACCACATTTTAACACTTCCACAGATTCACACTTAGCTGTAGGGTAATTGTACACATTTCTCCATTCAGTTCCATTCCAAAAGCTCTATTTTTCTACTACCTAAATGTCTAGAAACCAAAGCCAAATCAGACAGGAATCCAAACAATGTTTAAAAATACCTAGTTTCCAGTCTTGTCATCTCAGAGTTAGTATCTATGTTCAATACCAGATTTTGAGAAGATGGCACTAGTGCAGCTGAATGAGTTGTTTCGAGTTAACTCAAATAAAAGCCATTTTTGTTTAAATGTGAAGAAAAATAATCTTTTATTTTTC